AAGTAAAGTTTATTCATATAGTACTTTTTGCAGACATAGGTCACAAAGTGTTTCACATACAAAAGATAAAAAAATAAAATAAAAATGCATAATTCATAATTGATAATAACATCATAGTCATAGCAGCCCTAAAACCTGAGGGGGCGGGAACACTTGTTCAAAGAGAAATGTTTTAGTTGCTTTTTAAAAGCATCTACAGAGTGTAGGAGAGGAGGCAGTTCATTCCAGAGTTTAGTAGAGACACTTGAAAGGATCTGTCTCCTCGCTTTTGTGGCTTACAGCGAACAAATAATAAAATAACCATCTGTCCATGATACTACACAGATCATTAAATTTCAAACATTACATCTGATTTTAATTATATTTTCTAATCATCTTTCTACTTACTTTAAAAAATTCCAAAATATACAAGGACGCACAGAAGTCTCGAGTGCCAAAACCAATATTTGTGCTGATTTCATTTCTGGTCCCCACAGAAATAGACAGAGCATTTCTCATTCTGCACAACACCTGTTTTTTTGTTTTTTTTTCTTCTCTCTAAAGGCCAAGGCTGTTAACCTGAGCTCTGCCCTTGCACCATTTTAAGCTTACTACCTGGAAAAAACACAATACAAAATAATACACATTCTGCTGCTTCAAGGTATTTGTTGATTTCCCATTAAAGCCTGTACCTGATTCTGAACCATCAGGGACAAACATGCACCAGTTTGAAGTTTTAGCTCCGCCCACTTAGTCCTCTGCTCACCTAAACTTAACTTAACCCCAAAAAACTGGTCAAATCATCAGTGAAGGTCATGCTGACTAATACTGTATCTAATACTATAATTCTAGTTTCAGTTCAAAATGAAAGTTGTTGTACAGTTGTAGGGAGTATTATCTTTTACATAAAGGTGAATTGTTGTACAGTTGTAAGTAGTATTTTCTGTTACATAAATGTGAGTTCTACAGTTGTAGGGAGTATTATCTGTTATATAAATGTAAGTTGTCATACAGTTGTAGGGAGTATTATCTGTTACATAAATGTGAGTTCTACAGTTGTAGGGAGTGTTATCTGTTATATAAATGTAAGTTGTCATACAGTTGTAGGGAGTATTATATGTTACATAAATGTGAGTTCTACAGTTGTAGGGAATATTATCTGTTACATAAGGGTGAGTTGTTGTACAGTTGTAGGGAGTATTATCTGCTACATAAGGGCAAGTTGTTGTACAGTTGTAGGGAGTATTATCTGTTACATAAATGTGAGTTGTACAGTTCTAAGGATTAGTTTCTCTTACATAAGAGTGAGTTGTTGTACAGTTGTAGGGAGTATTATCTGTGACATAAGGATGAGTTGTTGTACAGTTGTAGGGAGCATTATCTGTAAAATAGGGCATATTGATACCGACAACTAAGTTACCATAACAGATCAGCAGATCTACTTTTGGGAAACGTTTCGGATAAAAGCGTCTGTTAAATACAGAAACATAAACCTCTGGCTCGATGTAGAACTACGGCTCTGTGGCCTTTCAACATCTAACGTCAAGACTCATGCCATGCTGTCGTTAACTAACCTGTTCATTTGGTTGTTTCATTGTCAACGTACGTACCAGAGAGTTTCTGATCACATTCTAACATCATTCTGTTTATGGACATGGAACATGACGCTGGAGCTGCTCAAACTACAAATAAATGGTACTTATGGACAAAACCCAAGTACAGCATTAACACGAGTATTTGTATTTTTTTCATATCCAAATGATGCACTTACAGCAGTAGAACTACTGCTTTGTTGAAAATACTGAAGGAAGTAGGCAGTACAATATAGTTTTTTTGTTTTTTCATTTATTTTACAATGCAAAGTTTGGTGGTTTGATGGCGTTTAAACTTGAAGTTCCTAGTCATATACATATATACATCTTTAGATATATACCCATATACATATATACATCTATACATGTCTATGGGTTCAATACTAACGTCAACGTACAACTCTTACTTTGACATATTTGTTTGACCAAATGTTTGACAGTTCCTCATGGATGGAGATGAAAACAAATGGGAGACATTCCTGTTTACAGAAGAAACGCCCTTTAATGTTCCACACACCGACGATATTGATGTGAACAGGGACGTCTCTCCACAGATCTGACCGGTAATGTAGTGCAGTGCTGTAACCTGTTTGTCCCTTGTGATAAGTAGGTTTAATCTGTACTGTGGGACATTCTAGACAAAGCAGAAACATTTCCATGGAGACAAACAGGTGGCGGACCCTTCACTAAAAATGTTCCACACTACATATTTAAGCCTTTTTTTGTCACTACTGAATATACGCCATGACCAAGTGTCTGGGATAGTGTTCTATAGTTGGTTTCTCATGGTTCTTAGTAGCAATGTATCCGATAAATAGATAATATTTGACTGTTTCAATGTAAACCTTATTGAGCTGTTTTTCCCACACGTACATAGAGGTACAGGCCCTTGAACAACCATCTGAAGAGCACCTCATGACCTTAAACAACTCCATATCCTGCAAATGAGTCGAACGTGTAAAAAATCTATCTCCTGTTTGCCCTGCGTGTTACAGCTCAGGTCTATGTCACGGCCCCCTGCAGAGTCTCACCTATGAATCCATTTCCATAGTGATGTTTCATGGAATCCTCTGTCCTCCTGCTGAGCTGTTTCCTGGAACAGTAGTCATAATAATGTGTAAATGCAAGAGGGGCCCTGGATACGAGGGCCCCCAGGGGCTCAATGGATTTTCTTATTTTACAATGATATATTTGGTACAACTGATTATATTTGATTATTATCAGTTACATAAGGATGAATTGTTGTACAGTTGTAGGGAGTATTATCTGTTACATAAGGGTGAGTTGTTGTAGGTTGTAGGGAGTATTATCTGTTACATAAGGGTGAGTTGTTGTAGTTGTAGGGAGTATTATCTGTTCCATAAGGGTGAGCTTTTGTACGTTTGTAGGGAGTATTATCTGTCCCTCTATAGTGCAGTGGGGAGCAGGAGTGTCCATGATGTAGAGCAGTTTGTCCAGTGTCTTCGTGTCTCTCACTGTGACAAATGTCTCCAGTTCACAGTGGACCACGTGAGCAGATTTAGGATCAGTTTGTCGATCCGCCCAATGTCCCTTTTCCTGGAGCTGCTCCCCCAGCAGAGCACAGCCAAGTCCAGGGTGCTGGCTCCACAGACTGGGAGAACATCTCCAGTAACTTGCTGCACACATTGGAAGACCTGAGCTTTCTTAAGAAGTAGAGTCTCCTCATGTTCTTCTTGTACACAGAATTACAGTTGTCCCTCCAGTCCAGTGTGTTGTCCACGTCATGGCCCTGGATGGTGCTGGGCTCCACTGGTGTCCTCTTCCTCCTGAAGTCAATCACCAGTTGATTGGTCAACGTTCAGGAGCAGAGGGTTTGCCTGGGAACACAAAGTTTGCAATCAGTGTCCCGTCCTCCAGCTCCAGCTAAATATGGCTGCTTCAGAGGAAAAAAGAAAGGAAAAGCTAAACTCTAAAATAATGACTATATGCGTCACTGAAATAAACAAATGTGATTGGACATCTGTGTTTGAGCGGGCTGACAGAGAAATGGAAATATTGTATTTGGCCAATATGGAAAAATCTAATTACCATGAATGTAGGATTACTTAAAAGTCCTATATTACACACAGTTAACTCTTGTGAGCTTTAAGTAAGTGGAACAGTGTTTGTGTGGGTTTGTGGGAATGAAACAAAACACAACTCCAGGTCTGTTTTTTTTTTTTTTTTTTTTTTTTTTTTTTGAAATGAGAAAACAACATAATAACAGAGATCAGAATATAGCTGTTGCTGGTTGGGGGCTATCTCCACCTTGTCTCCATGGAGACAGTACGTCTTTGTCAGGAATAGTCTGTATTATGGCATTAAACTTGTCTTTCCTATATCTCTTACATGTGTTTTCTGTTGCTCAAAGATATCTTAAAAAAACATACATTCTTATTAGGGGTGCAATGATATCCAAGTCTCACAATACAATATCGTCACAGTATGAACCTCATGGCACGATATTTATTGTGATATTGTGGGAAAGCTCACGATATGTTGGGGAGGCTCACGATTAGGGATGTAACAATATCCAAATCTATATGTACAATATTTTCACGATATACATCTCACAGTACGATATATATTGCGATATTTTGTGGAGGCTAAACAACTAAAACTGTGAATATGCTACTTTTATTTTCCTCTTAAAATGCCTTGACACGACTTAATCCAAAGAACTAAGACTTAAAAGTCTTAGAACTGTTATTTCTTCATGTAATCTGCACTGAAATGGAGCAAAGGATCATGGTCTATGTAGTTCCCTCTTCCCTGAACCAAGGACAGAACCAGGACTAAATCAGGTCTAAATCAGAGCTGAACCAGGAGCGTGGAGTTCTGCGTCAGTCCTTTCGCCCCTGGGTCACCCGACGGTCTACGCGGGCACGTCTCCGGTGTTTCACCGCTGCTGATATCGCAGTGATTTTAGCGAATTTGTGTGAAAAAAAATGAAAAAACACCACTTCAATCCAGGTTAAAAAAGCATGGTAACGTGCGTCACTGACATTTGTACCGAGTAAAATATTATAATTTTTTTTCCCCTGTAATGCCGAACATTACTGTGTTACAGCAAAAAGCAATGCATTACAGTAATGTGTTACTTTTATAACGCGTTACTCCCAACACTGCCTAATTCTTACTGAGACTGGGTTTGCCTCACAGATCTAGCTGTGTAGTTTTTTGGATCTTGTCTCCATGGAGACGTTATTGCTTTGTTGAAATGTTCAGTAGTATGGCATTAAACAGATCTAAATTCATTCCGTTACTTGTTTTGTATTGCTCAAAAATATCTTGAAACACATACATTCTTACTCTGAGTTTGCCTCAACACAAATCAGATTTGTAACGTGTTCTTGTTTGTAGCCATACTTAATGCCGTACTGTGTAACATTCCAGCGAAAGCCTTAACACCTGCGTAGAGAAAAGCAGATGGCCTGTACCCTCCACCTGAAAAGTCCCTCCGTTTATTCTCACGGGGGATTCTGCACTTTGGTTCAGTACAAGTCTTACAGTCTCATTACTGTTATTTCGTTCTGCTCCTACTTCCAAGTACGCCCTCACAGCACACTTCAGTCGCCTCATACCAGAAACACTAATTTGTATTCTCTCCATCTCTTTCTCTCTTTCTCTCTCTCCGCAGCACAACCCAACGCTCCCAAAATCCACGAGGGCTGGTGGGCGTACAAGGAAGTGGTCCAGGGCAGCTTCGTTCCAGGTAGGACTTTGATGTTTTTGCACATTTTGTCTTTTTACTTCACTCTCGTTTTTTCTTTCTGTCTGAAAACCACTCTCTTATACATCGTGATTTGCAGTTTTACCTCTCTTCTTCTTCTTCTTCCTCTTCTTGATGGTGGTTCACAAATCTCTCTGTTTCTCTCCTCCCTTTTCTTGATGACAGTTTGCATATTAACACTCTCTTTTCTTGATTGCGGTTCGCATATCGCCTCTCTCTTTCGCTCTTTTTCTCTCCGTCTCTTCCTATAGTCTTGATGGCGGTTTGCATATTACCGCTCTCTCTTTCCCTCCCTCTCCTTCTCTCTTTTCTTGATAGTGACTTGCATATTGCCTCTCTCTCTTTCTCTCTTTCTTCCCACTCTTTGAAAAAGCTCATCTAAACCTCACTAAAATGCAGGAAATTACACTTCGTTGCACAAACTTTCTTGGGCCTAATTTTCTGTTGTGTAAGAGCAGCCATAGGGACACTTTCAGAACTTTCAAATGTGGAGAATTTAGAGCCAACACTCTCCACGTATGTTCTCTGTCTAATTTGACTTCAACATAAGAAAAAAATGTGGTAATCTAGATCTAAAAATACCAAACAATCACACCACAAAGCAAAAAGAACATATGAAAATACATCAAGTGTAATTAATCTGCATCATTGTGGACTAGTTATATTTTTTCTGCATCTTTAGTAGAAAAAAGAGGGTCATGTAGTTGTAGACATCATTAAAAATGTCCTGGAAAAGTCCCAGAGAAAGATTTTGCCAAGTGTTTGAACCCTGAATATTATCAGACCTCGCCGCAGGTCATGTGACTCTGGTGTTTAAGTGAAAAAGAAGTCAGCAAGTGTGACGTCACCCACAAAGTTCAGCTCCAGTCAAATGAAGCTCATCGAGGCTTGTAGTTATAGTGGCTAACTGGGAGACATTCAATTCTATTCAGAATTCCAAACTCATGTAACAGAGCAAACAAAGAGCCACTTTCCGTCCACAGCGCTGGTTAAACAGGGGGTGGACGCTTAGCAACGCTGTACTGTAAAAACTAAAATCTAGCCAAGTTTTATCACAATTTGAGTAAATTTCACTTGACAAATAAAATAATCTGCCAGTGGAACAAGACTTGCTTGTACTTAAAACATGAAAATACATCTTGCTACAAGAATAATAAAACAACAACTTTTTGCACTTAAAATAAGAAACAAAATCCAGCGTTCCTTGAATTAAGAAAAACACACTTATTCCAATCATCCTTCCATTTTCTTCCCTTATCCGGGGCCAGGTCGTGGAGGCAGCAGTTTAAGCAGGGGCTCCCAGATTTCCCTCACCCCAGACACTTCCTCCAGCTCCTCTGGGTGATCCCCAAGGTGTTCCCAGGCCAGCCCAGAGACATAGTCCCTCCAGCATGTCCTAGGCCTTTCCTGTGGCCTCCTTCTGGTGGGACATGCCTGGAACACCTCCTGAGGGAGATGCCCAGGAGGCATCTAGAGCAGATGCCCAAGCCACCTCAACTGCTCCTCTTAACATGGAGGAGCAGCGTCTCTACTCCGAGCTTCTCCCGTGTGTCTTTGGGGACACACTTATTCCATTGGTGGATCATTTTACTTGTCAAGTTGAATCTACTCAAATAAAGTCAAATTTTCTTAATTCAAGTCATTTTTAACTTACCTAGATATTGTTTTTTGCAGTATGTCAACCAAATCTGTTGCTAACTCTAGTGGAAACAACCATGGCCATAATGTTCATATCTTGATTGATGGAGAAAAAAGTGAAATAAAAACACCATGTAGAGCTTTTTAATGAAACGAGGAGCCTGATAGCAGCAGTTACAGAGTGACGGGTTTCAGTTTTAACAATAGAAATTGAATTGAAGTCAGAGTCAGTGGATCCAAATAGTCACTTCTAGTTCACTTCTATTTGGAAGGCATGTATGGACTAATAATGTCAGCTTTGTCAAGATGGATGTCACGTAAAAAGACTGAACTGTGACGCTTTTTATCTGAGATGTGGAAATAATGTTTGCAACTTTAATGCAGTCTCTCTCTCTCTCTCTCTCTCTCTCTCTCTCTCTCTCTCTCTCTCTCTTTATTTAATTCCATTATTTGTTTTGTGTGTTTCTATGTATACATGATAAATGTCCCAGAATTATTACTAATTACAACCAAAATAGCTCGACAACATAAGACAATAAAACACATTAAACCTATAGTTAAATCACAGCGTACAGAAGCATGACTGTGTAAAAACAGAACTGCAGTGAGGTGGAGGTGAACAGAAGCACATTCAGTGGGTTCATGTTGACAGGTCTGATTTGAACCATGTTGTGAGATGTGTTTTGAAAAGACGGTAAGAGCCCCTCTCGCTGATGTTTCCAGGGACTGTTCCACTCCTGATGCTCAGACAGACACGTCTGAAGACGGGCTTCAAAGAACTGCAGTGCGGATCTGCTTTTTCTTTTCAATAATGTTCCAAATATGGTACATTTTTGGCCATTTTTACACATAAAATTACTCACTTTTATATTAAAACATGATCTGATGAAAAATATGTTTTTCTTACACTTTTCTAAGTAAACCACTGAAGAAGTTTCAACCAGACATCTCTAAATGTAAAAATACACACTGCTCTTATAATGATTAACATGTAACTCTCTCTGGAGGGGTGTTTATTGTGGGGTGAATGTTTTTAGCCTTACTGTTTTTCTCATTTCAAGTTGGAATGTCTTGGTTTTGGTTTTCTGTGAGCCGTGAATCTGTTGATGCTGGCTCTTTGCTGGTTGTCTGTTTGGTTTTGGGTTGACACAGGTGGTGACTGATTCTCCTGTTTTGGACATGCCATGGACATGTAGATCTCATCATCTGAGTCTTCATCATGATTAAACATCAGTTTGTCACCATGGAGCTGCATCAGGTGGGAGTACAACCTCAGGCTTTCTTCTATCTTTTGGGAGTTTGAGTCTCGATTTGAGGCCAAGTTGTTTCAGGGATGGCATCTGACGTAATGTCCTCATTTATGTAGCTATTTTGGACCGGTTCAGACTTATCTTCTTGTTCCTGACCATTAACCAAACTCTGAAGATCAGTCACCAGCAGTTGCCATCTCACGTTTTTGTTCTTTCTCTTTCTCCATTTGTTCTTCTTGGAGGTTTGGGTCTTGCTTTGAAGGAAAGTTGCGTCTGGACCAAGACCTGATGTACTGTCCTCACTGGGCCTGATGCTGTTTTGAACATTCAGGATTGGTTCAGTTGGACATCCACCACCTTCCATTCTCTCAGGGGTAGATACTGAGGTTTTCTTGGGAGTTTCAGTCTCACTCTGAAGGCAAGTTGCTTTCAGAAGAGACATTTGAAAGTCCACTCACCTTCAGTGGCTCAGGCTGAATACAATCTGTTCAGCCTCCCGCCCTCACTCAGGAGGAGACAAGAGGTACAGGAGCCTTCGTTTCCACACTACCGGACTAACACACTAACAGCTTCATCCACCAAGGCTGTTAGGATGCTGAACTCTCTCCCCTCTCTAACCACCAGGCACCAGGAGCAGGAATCTTGAACTTTTCCATTTATTATTATTATTTATTTAGAAGATTGGGAGTGAGGAACACAGTTTCAATTCTTCATATGTTAAGAACATGTTGACAATCAACTTTTTTGAATTTGTATTTGCAATATTAACACTCTCTCTATATATAAGGAACAATATGGATTTGCTCTCTCTTTCTCTTTTCCATCAGGGGTGATATATTACCTGTCTGTCTCTCTCTCTTTCTGTCTCTTCTTGATTGTGGTTCACTCTCTTTCAATTCTTGATCGTGATACATATATTACCTCTTTCTCTTTCCTTCTCTTTCTTCTTTATCATGATTCATATACATTACCTGTCTCTCTATACCTCTCCTTCTCTCTTTCTCTCTCTCTTCTCCCCTCTCCCTCTTTCCCGTTCCCTCCCTCTCTCACCCCTCTCCCACAAACATGTCGGAGCAGCACCTTGCCGAGGGCGCTCTCTGATTTCCTCCGCAACAATTGACATTTGCCACCCGTGTTTTTTGACTGACGCCTCCTCTCCTCTCTCCTCTCTCCTCCACGTCACTCTATCCATCCAATTATTTTCACACCGTTTCTGCTGAACCAAGTATTTCCCGTGTAAGCGCCTCCAGAAATACGTGTATGTGTGCGCGTACGTGTGTGTGTGCGAGAGGATGGAAGTAGTAAGTGTTACGTGGGCCAAATGTCACTATAATGAAAGAACAATTAGGAGAATTCAAATAGAAGGTGCAGGAGAGGAAGGGAAAGAGAAAGAGGGAGGTGAAAATGGACTGGGATGGGAGGAGGAGAGCATTGGGTAGATAAGAAGTTATGCGAGTTGGTTTAATTGAATCTCAACTTTTAATGATGGTGAATGTTTAAGTAGGCTGAACAGCTGCAAGGTTCTTAAGGCTATTACAGGGAGTTCTCTGGGTGATACGAGCGCTTATAATGGGCGAGGGGAGTGTAAAAGTGTACAGGTGGGAAGGCCTCCAGGAAGATGTGTCTTTTTAAAAACGATTTGTGAGATTAATACATGCTGTGATAGTTTTGCAAAGGTGAACAGTTCATTTGTGGACTTTTTATTTCGATTTATGTTTACTGAGGGCGTCACAGTCGCCTTAGACGAGCCAGATGTGCTGCTTTGATATGATATCTATTGTGATATTTTATAGAGGCTAAACCGGATACTTTTTATTTTTAAAATGCATTGACAAAACTTTGGTTCTGTCATAATCCAAAGAATTAAGAGTAAAAAGTGCTTATTAAGACTACGTTTACACTGAAACAAATTCGAGTATCACCGTGTCATTAAAATGATTTGCGTCCAGACACATCGTTTCTGTGTCCACAAGTCTTCCCTATCCACACAGCATATTTTACAGAAACAAACCTTAAAACCACATGGCTCATTTGCATAAACTAACCGCTCAGAAAACAGCTCACTATTGTGCTCTGAGGCAGTTCAGCTTCTGT